TAGATTTTGAGTTTAGATTATTCTTTGTAAGTTAGATTCATTGTTGTGAGATATTTGATTTAAGTTATGTCAGATGTGAGTTGGATAAGTTTCGAGCCTGGTACACTTGTGGGACCCGTCTCATAAGTGTACGACGTTTGTTACGCTCTCAGATTTGGGTTCTGGGGCGTGACAGATTTAGTGGTATCAGAGCTTAGGGTTAATTAAAAACCTAGGATTTGTTTAAAACTTGGCTAGCCAGTAGATTTTAAAACCGTGGTGAGACAAGTGATGGGGTTATATAAGGGACGATTTTGATCATAAATCTTGGTGATTTTGAGCTAGTTCTGGAAAATTTTTAGCTTGGATAATAAATTGAGATGATAAGATAAATTTGGAATTTGTGTTTGGAGATTTTAATGTTATTTTGATAGAAATTCTTGCTAATTTTGATTGACTTAGTTTTGTGGTTCTTTGTGTCATTGTATCTCCTAATGATGTGATATTGTGTTTTAGGCTCAATCTGTTTTGTGTTTAGGCTTACATTTTTGGGTATATGATGTAGAGAGACTCTAAGCTCTTCAGCCCCTCCCCTCTTCTTCCACTCCTGAGATCATTTCCAATTCTTAACGCTTCTTTGTTCTTTAGATCTCCAGTTCCTTTCAGTTTTTGGAGCTGTTGATGATTCCAATGTCTGTGTGAATCTGCTTGTAAGCTCTCGTTGCAGACTTAAAACAAGTTATTTTGCATTCATAACGGTAATTAGTTTGGTTCATTTCTCTTGTTTCAATCTTATGATTCTAGTTCAAGATATCTGTTTGATATTTGATGATTTTGCGTGGATAACTTGGTTTGCCTGTGTAATGAACTTAGATGTGAAGCGACAGTGATCAATCAAGAATCTTCATGTTTTTTTTTTTTATTTATTTTATTGAAATCCTTATGGGATTTGAGTCTATATATTATGCGTGTCTATGTCATGCCAATGTCTAGGCTGTGGTTGATAGCACTTAGTTTTAGTACATATCCCGATGCTCTTGCAGGAAAGGAGATGGTTTTTCCACACATGGGTAGAAATTTTTCCTGCTAAATAGTTTACCAAATGTTTTTGCCTAGACTTGCTTTTAGATGCCCATACCTGAAGTTGCTGTTTTGAGCTCATTTTTGCGTTGTTCTAGGTGTGTTTCAGGCTAATTGTTCCTTTGTTTTGGTCTTAAATTGTCATGGAATTTATACTAAACTCTGGTTTGGAACTACCTTAATTTCAAAAAAAAAAATTTCTAGCTCAATCCATATGTAAATTGATTTTGAATTCTGGCAGCTTGACCTTGGAGTAGTATTATGTACATAACTTCTTCAGTAGATGTTGGATTAAAGCCATTCCTGGTTTTGTAGAAAGGTAAGAGATAGAGCTTCAATTTTTCGGTTAAGCATTCAAACCAGTTCTGCCATTTTCAAGGAGAAAATTTTGTTGTAACCTTTGTGTTTAGAATCTGACCAGTATTTTGCCCTTTTTATTCAGCTGTTTTCTGGTCTATTTTAGGCTAAGTTCAAGTGCGTTTGAGTTGCTATTTTAGCTGTTAGATGCTCCACCATTTTGCGTGTATAAGATTAAAATTGGGCACTAAAATTAGTTGCAGCTGCCTCATCAATTTTTTTTCTTTGTCTGCCACCATGAGTTGTGATTTGGAGTGTCTCTGTACGCTAAACTCTAGTAGGAAGTTACAGCAGCATAAAGTCCTCTCTCGGACTCAAAATGTGAGGAATTACATTTTGATTTATTGATGCAAGACTTGAGAAAAATAGTTGCCTAGTTAAACATGATCTGATTATTGAGTAATCTTGGGTTGTGGCAAAATGTATAAGGCCTTCTACATTAGGTCTGTTTGTTAAGTATTCATTTGGGCATTCATACATGAATGCAAACCTAGACATACATGAGCATATACACGCATACATGCATGCACACATGGGCATTCATGCATGCACACATGGGCATTCATGCATGCACACATGGGCATTCATACATGCACGCACAGAGGCATTCATTCATACATACATATGCATGCATTCATCCATTCATGATCCTATACATCCAAGTGATGCTTATCCGTCTCAGATAGGGTTTCATCTTTTAATTGTACTTATCATTAGATTCCTTGCCATGTTGTTGTGTTTGATGAGTGCCGGATCTTGATGTGGGTCAAGGGTACCATATAATCACGCCGCTAACCCTCGAGTTTAGTTACTTTTGTTGAGGCGTGAAGTTATCTCCCGCTTCCCAAATGGCCATTGGAGAAGGTGGAGATTGAGATTTGTTGTTGGCTTGTTAGAGCAATGATGAGTACTCATTCCCTGCGAAGTGAATCTGATTATTGTACCTTTGTAATTGTTTGCCGTGCATTTGCGATTGATTTCCTTGTTATTGTTGTTGTTGATGCTAATGCTGCTACCTATTTTGTGTTTAAAATTTGGTGCGCAGAATGTGGTCCTTGTTTAGATTGTTTAGTTTGATATAAATTGTCATTCTAGAGTGACATTTGTTTTGCCTTCAGCCTGACTTTTAAAGTATTTAACCAGTTTTGTGACAGCTATCCAGTTGTTTCTTTGTTAGAAATCCTTGTTGGTTTACTTGCTTCTAGTTACGTACAAAGGGTCTGGCCATGAAACCTGTAGAGCTATGATGTCCCTCATCTAGAGCTTGCCTTGTTTGTGGATTATTATTGAGAACCAGTGAATGAAATTGTGCAAAACCCAAACCATACCCCTTTAGGGTTGCAGAACATTTGGGTGGTTATATACCTCGTGTTGTGCTACAGTGTCCTTTGCCACAAATGAAGGAGTTGTTAGCTCAGGCGTCTTCTCTAGGACAAAATGGTACTTTTAAGGATATGCTTGAGATGGACTATTGAGCACATTTTATCTCTTGTGAAAACCTAATCTTTTGGACTTTGTATATATGTCCCCCTAATCTTTTGGACTCTCTATATATGTCCCCCTAATCTAGGGATTTACCTTTGATTTTGCTATGTGCTGTTTCTTGACCATTAAGACTATGAAACTCTTAAATTTAAGTTGGAGTCTCCAACCTCAAAATGGCTTTAGTTTTCTTGATGTTTATCCTAGAGCTTGGAATACATTTAAGTTACTAGAATGTAATTTTAGTTATAGAGGCCAATATTTGGAACTCGAATTTTATGCAAAAAAAGTTTAGATCCTCCGTAATTCCTTGATTTGATTTCGCTTAATCTTTATAAATTCTTAATTTAAGTTATATCTACGAAAACATATGGCTAACCAAATTTATTGCGAGAATGGGAAATCTGTCCACGTGGATTTTTCTAAAGCATTTTCCTTGGCTTACGCTTGCATTCTTTAAGAATTTTGAGCTATTGTTCCACAAGCTACCCATTGGGTTGGAGGCCATGATTTAGGTCTCAATTCGACCAGTGTGTCAAAATTCGTGCCATGCCATTCCTTGCTAGCTTGTCTTTATTTTGGGTTCATAGCATAGTTAAGCTATTGTTTTCTATAGCCTTGGTAAGAATCTCATCTGGGTTTCCCTGGAATTCAAAATAATTCTGCTCTATTCTGGTTCTTGCTTTGTCCTTCCGGCATTCTGTGTATAGGGATTTATGGTCTCTGATTTTGTTATGACTTTCTCTGATTTGAAAAGGATCTAGAGTTTAAATTGGGGTTCATGACCGGGAAGAAAAAAAAAAAAAAGAAAAAAGAAAAAAAAAAGTTGTCCCTTGATTAGCAAATAGCACAATTTTGTAGTGGTGGCTTCATGATTCCCTCTGTTGCTCTGATTTTTCAGAAATATTGATTTATTGATTTTGCACTGCTATGGCCATATGATGGTTGTCATATGATGGGCATTAGTTGTCTTAGATTGCGTGAAGCCATTTGCCAGTCTAAATGATTTTAGATTTGAGTTTTGGGGACAAAACTCCTTATTAGGAGGGGTGGATGTAATATTCCAAAATTTTCTAGAACATTAAAAGTGTGCATAGGGACCTAATTGTGAGGAAGTATTATTAATGAACTTAATAGTAAATTTTTTTAAAGTTCAAGGACTTAAAAGAGGAAAAATTCTGGATAAGGATCAAGCTTAGAATTTTTTTCTTTTCTTCCTCATCACACGCGTGTCTGCTCTGTCCTCCTTCTCCTCTACCTCCCGAGAGCTTCCCCCCCAAAGCCGTGGAAGCTTCTCCCTTGAGAACCGGTAAAGAGCTTGAGTGTTCCCTTTCCTTCTTGATGGAGAACAAGATTTAAACCCAGAAATTTCTTCCCAGCCATACACGTTTCTGCTCTGCTCTTCTTCTTTGTGCAGCCCGACAAGCTTCCCCCAAGCCACCGACTTTTATTCCTTGAGAAAATTGGTAGCAAGCTTGATTGTTCCCTTCCTTTTCTTGTTAAAGAACTGATTTTAGGACCTAGAACCCTCCCTTTGAAGTAGGAATTTCCAGATCTGCGCTGTCTTCTTCTCCTCTGTCCGCCGGCCTCTGCTGTGTGGAGGTTGAGTTCGGTTTTCTGGTAAGATTCAGCCATGAATCCCTCTCTTTAACCTTGAATTAGGTTGGGTTTACTCTAATTTCCTCTTGTTCCTTCAATTTTGGTAGCTCCTGTGACATCCCTTCCCCTTTCCCGATCTCTGCCAAGCTCGCCAGATCCGGCTTCTATTGCTGGAAATATTCTGGTAAGTTAACAGCCCTCCAAGCTTGAAATTTCATCAATTAACTACTGCCTTGTGTTGTTGAATTTTATCCATTTGTTGCTGCCCTGTGTTGTCCGAAAACCCCCTGTTGTGCTGTCCGAATTTCTGCAGAAATATGGAAGAATTTGGTAGCATAAAATGGGTTTTGGGTTGCTAATTCGTGTAGAATTCTGTGCGGTTGTCTCGGGAATCATTTTTGCTGTTTGAAGTTGTTTTTATGCCATTTTAGTTATCCTAAAGAAATTGTCTGATTGATTACGGGTAGATGAAAATTTGTGGCAACGAATTATGAAAATTTCCTTGATTAGCTACTGCTTTGCCAAAGATGGAAAATTGAATAAAAGCCATGCTCCCCATTGTTTGCCCGTGAGTTTGGGAAGCTATAAATATGTGTAAATGTGTGTATTTAATGGGTATATATATATAGGTATACTCAATCCGGATTAATGCTAAAATTCGGAAAGAAGAAAAGAATAAATAAATAAATGAATATTGCATTTTTGGGGTTTTGCCGGCAACAATAAGAGGATGAAATGCTTAGTTTTATATGAGAATAAAATTAGAGTTGTTCGGCCATGAGAGATTGACATAAATTGCGATGTTTTGTTAATGTTCTAGTGAGGTCTGAAAATGTTTATTTGAAATATTAGGTGCTGTTGTGGCTTAGAGCTCTGGGTCGAGTTTCTTGTTTATTCCAAGTGAGGTAAGTAAATTTATGGTAATACCCATACAGTTTTTAAAAGCATGTTTTGATTTGTTTTGAAATGGTGGTGGGATTAAATCCGTTTTATACAAAAGTATGATTGATTTGAAGTGAAATTTTTTTATGCTTTTCATTAAATTGAGCATGCTTGCTTGAAATTTAATTGATTGTCCTGATGATTTGATTTGAAAGTGATTGGTGATATATGATTTTTCTGTTAACTTCAGCCTGTTTTGTCTCTGATGTGGTCATGTCATTAGTGACCTTGCTAGTGGGGGTTAAACGCTCGCACATGTCGACATGTTAGTGATAGAACCGGTTCGTTCGAGTGACCCTGCTAGTGGGGATTGTACACTAGTAAATAGTGCGCTTGCTAGTGGGTGGTTTATAACACTGGCCGTGATTTATAGAGGAGACGTCTATTTTGTTCCCATATTGTATCCCTTTTTCATGATTGCACTTGTTGACATGTTATAAGTTTAATTAAGGGCACTCCATATTTTACTTACTGAGTTATCTCACCTCATTTTTCCTCGTCCACCATTCCAGGTAGTGTGACTCAAGACGTGGGAAACAAGGGGAGTGATGAGCTAAATGGCTAGCTATAATATTTGGATATAGATTTTGAGTTTAGATTATTCTTTGTAAGTTAGATTCATTGTTGTGAGATATTTGATTTAAGTTATGTCAGATGTGAGTTGGATAAGTTTCGAACCTGGTACACTTGTGGGACCCGTCTTATAAGTGTACGGCGTTTGTTACGCTTTCGGATTTGGGTTATGGGGCATGACATTTCGGTTGAGAAGGTGAGGGTGCACTAGAGTCGGTGCCACTGCCATTATAACATGTTTTCTCTTGGGTCTCCCACTGGGTCTCGTGGACAATGGTACTCGAAGACCCAATTCCTTGTGATTGATTTTTTCTCACTGGTCGTTGGGAAGCAACGTCAACGGACTTGTCACCCCTACAAGCTCCGGGTATGCAATTTACTACAAAGAAAAAAATGTATAATAATACTACATTAGTATATGATTGGAAAAAATACGTTATATTCAAACTAAAAAAAGAAAATTAATGAAAGATGAAATTTAAAGACTATATATATATTAATAATTTAACATCACATTAAAGTTTCTTTTTATGTCAAGCTACTTATATATCACTTAATGTGTTATAAAATATTACATACATATATTAATAAATAATAACAAAATCTATTATGACACTAATTAATTAATTACTACTATCACTCTCAGAAATATATTCAATATTTTTTTCCTCAGATGTATAATAATCTTCAAATTCTTCCTCCTCCCTATTGTCATCCTCAATTTCTCTGTCATAATCCACATCCTCAATTTCGACATTAATGGCAGATATAGTCCCATCAGTATGCTGAATAGGTTCATATAATATAAGATCTGACATTGTTGGTTGGGCAGCTAGAGGGTCATCATCTTGAACAATAGGTTCTTAATCATCATGTTGTTCCTCTTGTTGATCTGGCATCTCAATAACACTTCGTGATCTACATTTCAATGCAGCAACCCATCTCTTTCTAACAGAATTTTGTGATGGATGTGGAGTGTAATACATTTGTTTAGCTTGACTTGCTAAGATGAAAGGCTCATAAGTTCTCAATTTTCTATTTGGATTAATATCAACAAGATGGTGTTTTCGGTCAACCACAATTTCTCGTGCAGGAGGAATTTCATACCAATCACATTTAAATAGAACAATCGTCTGTTGATGTCTGGATCCAACATATTGAAGCTCAATAACTTCCTGTAACAACCCATAAAAATCCAAATCTGAGTTTGTTCTTGTGGTGCCTGCGACACATACATTGTTATTAATTGTTTTCTTGTTTTTTCCATATGAGACAGTGTGAAATCGAAAACTGTTTATCCAAAAACCTTTATAGCATTGAATTATCCAAGAAAGGCTATGAGCCAAGCCAATCAAATGCTCATCAATGCCCTCAAACTGATCATGTAAAACCTATATCATATGAGTTATTTTATTAGTTATTATTAGTATATAATAATCTATTAATAATAATTAAAATAAATGAGATTAAACTTACCGATTTTTCAAACCATGACACAAGACAATTGGAACGTTTCATCTATATTTGTTGGGGAATCATATTTTGACATTCTTCTTCAAAAACCCTAATCAAGCAATAATTATAATTATGTGTAAATTAAAACAATTCATTTCATACTCAAAAGGTCGTTAAGGATAAGGATTAAGGAAATGCACTCACTCAATCCATCCTTTCAATTCTGCACAATTCATTAGAACATAATACATTGCATTATTACGCTCCTCCATTGTCAACACTCGCTGTTGTTGTAAAGAACCAATTGGTTTTCCAAGATTATTGAATATTGAAAGGCCAATGTTAACAGAAAGACCTAGGCCAACAAGATTTCTAGGTATGCGATCACTTCTTGTCTCAACTTCTCCTTCAAAATAAAGTGAGATAAAGTATAAAATCTCACTCATGTAATTCTCGCATATTGATCCTTCAGGACGAGCTTTATTTTTCATCGAACCCTTCAATCCATGCATTCGTCTAATTCATGAAAAAGATTTTATAATAATTAATAATAATTCAACAAAATTATGTTTTATATTATATATATATAATAATAAAAAATTAGATATTCTAATAATACCTCTCAAATGGATACATCCAACGGAATTGCACTGGTCCCCCCACCATGGCTTCATATGGAAGGTGAATTGCTAGATGCTCCATTGAATCAAAAAAAGGAGGAGGGAAAATTCTTTCAAGTTGGCATATTGTTTCTATAATCTTTGTATGCCAAATCTCCATATCTATAACACGAATGGCTGGAGAACATAAGGTTCTGAAAAACTCACTGATCTCTGTAAGTGCTTCCCAAACTTGTTTTGGGAGAAAGTCACGGAATGCAATTGGAAGGAGACTTTGCATGAATATATGACAATCATGACTCTTCATCCTGTTAACTTTCGCCTCTTGCATATTCACACACTAAGAGATATTGGATGCAAAACCATCAGGAAATCTAAGATTCTTTAGCCATTGGCACAATGATTTTCTCTGCTCCTTATTCAAGGCATAAGTGGCTTTGGGTTTTTTACCTACATTAGTGCCTGTTTCTGGTATACAAAGACTTCGCCTATTGCAATATAATTCCATATCCATCCTTGCCTTCAAGTTGTCCTTCGTCAATGAGTCATCCATGACGGTGTGAAAGATATTATCAAAAAAAAATTTCTCACAGTGCATGACATCAAGGTTATGACGGATTAAGTTTGTGTGCTAATAAGGAAGCTCCCAAAAGATACTTTTTTAAACCCAATTATGCCAATCACAAAATCCTTCAATAACCTGCCTTTGGGATGGCTTCCCAAATAGTATATCGAGCAACTGCTGAATTTGTCGGAACATATCATCACCCAACAATCTCTCTGGTGGAGCATCATTCTCTACATGGCCTTTTCTAAAATCATTCCTATTTTTTCTGAATGGATGATCAAGGGGTAAAAACTGTCGATGACAATCAAAAAATGATATCTTCCGACCATTTGGGAGGTGAAATGCCTTAAAATTTTCTTGACAATACGGACATGATAATCTACCATGTGTGCTCCATCCAGATAACATGCCATATGCAGGGAAGCCAGTAATTGTCCACATAAGTGCTGCTCTCATAATGAAATGCTGATGCCTAAATCTATCATATGTTTGGACCTCATTATACCAAAGTTCCTTTAATTCATCAATCAATGGGCGGAGCATGACATCAATGTTTTTTCTTGGACTTTGAGGCCCTTGTATGATTAGAGAAAGAAAGATGGATTTCGGTTTCATACACATTGCTGGAGGTAGGTTGTAAACAGTAAAAAATACAGGCCAACATGAGTACGGGGTTGCTGTATGTCCAAATGGAGTGAACCCATCTGTGCACAATCCAAGCCTTACATTCCTTGGATCGGATGCAAAGTCAGGGTAGGTGCGATCAAAGTGTTTCCATGCCTCTGCACCGGTAGGATGCACAATCTTTTTAGATTCACCACTACAAGTAAGGTGCCATGTCATGCGCTCAGCAGTTTTTCTACACATATACAACCTTTTCAGTCTAGGTGTAATCGGGAGGTACCACAATGACTTCCTTGGTATATATTGATTTTGCTGCACATGTGCCTCCTTATAACGAGGTTCACCGCATACTAGACATGTGATGTAGTTTTTGTCTTCATATTCACCATAATACAAGAAGCAGTTATTTACACAAACATCATACTTCTTATAACTTAGACTAAAGCGCCTCATTATCTTTTTAGCACTGTAAAAATCTTTTGAAATCCTATCTCGATCCTCTGGCTTAATCCATCTTCTATTGCACTTTAACACATAATCCCAATTAGCCACACTCATATTATAAAGTGTCTTTGCATTCATAAAATGAGACACCCATTTAAGTACTGTATCACCCTCATCACATCCTTCATAAAGTGGTGTATTAGCAGCTTGCAAAAGATCAAAAAATTCCTTTACATCTCCTATTGCCTCCTCAAAGATTGGCTGATCACTGGCCTGATCATTCATATTATATTCTATACCATGTGAACTTATTGCATCCATAACCATTTCCCTAATTGGATCATTACCTGGTTCTTCCATCACAAAAGGAGTTGCCCTCGAGGATTCCCCCCACTGATGTCGGTTTCTCACTAATTGCTCTCCATGTGCAAGCCAAACTACGTACCTATTCATAAAACCTTTATCTATCAAATGACACTGAACAGTAACACGACGATGCCATTCACCATTCATACATTTCCTGCATGGACACCTAATGCGATTTCTACTACAAAATTTTGGATTGGACTGGGAAAATGCAAAATCTAGGAAATACTCCACGCCAAATTTGAATTCATCAACAAAACAGTCATTATCATCTAAACGATGATACATCCAATGTTGATCTCCCATCGTTTGAAAAATTTCCTTAAATTTTTATTATCAATTAAATTTTAATTAAAAAATTTATATCCTCACAAAAAAAATATATTCAAATTTGATAATTTAGTAAAGATATTTTATAACCTAAAATTAAAAGTTAATACAAACACTTTAACATATAATTTACCAATCAATTAATCAATCAATATAATAATAATTACCAATGAATTAATTAATAATCAATCGAAATAAATATAATTTAGAAATGAATTAATTAATATAATCATAACTTATCAATCACTTAAAACAATCTATTCATAATTTACTAATTAATTAATCAAAATAAACATAATATATATAAATCAATTAAAAAATAAAATCATAATTTTTCAATCAACCAATTAATCAATATAATCATATTTAACTAATCAATAATTAAGAATATAATATTTTCCTAACTTTTAAAATAAAAATGTAGTAACAAATTAGAACATACTTATAAAAGTAGAGACTTGCAATTCTGATTTGGAATTAAACTGAAATCAAAACTTTGAATTTGATGGCGGACCTACAAAAAAAAAAAATAAAGATTAATGAATTGAGAAATGTAAAAAACATACAAATAAAAATAAAAATTATAACAATTAATTTCTAAAAAATAAAACAATATTTTCGAAAAATAACATAAAAAGTAGTACTTTTAGATAAATATTTATTATTATATGTTACACAAATAATAAAAGAAATAAAATACGAAATAATCATTCAATTAATTAATAATTATAATGTAAATTTACATACTACTTAATTAGTATATATAATTAAACCAATGAATTACTTGATATATTCATTATAAATTTACATATATACTAATTAATTAATTAATCAATATAATAATAATTTATTTATCAAGTAAATGATATAATTATAATTTAACAATCAATATTTAACTAATTATAATTAATTTACGTATCCATTAATTAATATAATCATAATGTATAAATTAATTAAATAATATAATAATAACTACAAATTAA